CGCCCCGGCGCGTCCTCCGGCGGAGCCCGTCCGGCCCCCCCCCCCCCCCCGGGCGCCGCCCCCCCCCCCCCCCCCCCCCATAAAAAAAAGAATCGGAGATGGATGAATGGATGAATGGATGAGTGGATGGATTTTAGGGGGTTAGAAAGATGGGGGTAGACTTTGTTTCTCCGAAATGGTGGTTACGAAGTGAAGTGCACGTTTTTAACAAATTAGACGACGGTTTATGTCCTATGAAGATACGTAGATGTTCCAAAGAAATCCAAATCTTGGCTCTTTCCTCCCACCCCCGTACCAATTTTTATCTTCAATCTTCATCCCGCGGTTCTCGTCTAATCCAACCCAAATATCAAATTATTCCCTTCCCTCTCCCCCTCCCCCCTTCTGGAACAAACCCTCCCACGCTATGTATGTATAATGTATAATGTATACCCATCTCATCATACGGCGCATAAGCACACCCACCACCAAGTAGTACCTAGAAAGAAGAGCAGGTAGGTAGGTACCTAACCTAGGCAGTAATAACGAGATATCAATAATTCTCATGACGCCTTAGCCGCCTCGGCGAGAAAAGTCCGATGGTACGCTGGGTGGCTCCGTTCGATGTTACTCTTGACCATCTTCCTGGTGATCATGTTACTCTCGATGTCGACGTGTTCCTCGAGCAGGCCCGCGTCATCGCCGTCACCGTCACCGTCACCGTCACCGCCCAGCAGCGATACGCGCCACCGCGCGCGGACGGCTATGGACCCCGTCGGCGCCTTGCCGTCGACCGCGGAGTCGATGCCTTGGGCCCGGTTGGTCAGCGTCAGCCGGTACGTCGTCTGCCCGGTGGGTCGGCGGTCCGTAACTTCGAAGGTGTGGGGCTCGTCGACGGCGGGTGGTGCGACGTTGGGGTTGGAGGAGTCGGATGAGGAGGAGGGAAGGAGAGTAGTAGAAGAAGGTGAGGGTGGTGAGATTTGTCTGTAGCTTATGAGTTGCGGACAGGTGGTTCGGATGTAGATCTCGTGGTTGTGCAGCAGCGCGACGACGACGCTGGGCTGGATGCTGGCGGGGAGGGGCGTTGAGATGGTTGTTTCTACGGACATTTTTTTTCTTTTTCTTTTTTCTTTTTTTTACGAAGCTCCTTTTTGCGAAAGAGAATTTTGGTGTTTTTGTTTTAATTTTTCTCTTTTTCCTCTCGGGCCTCGATGCCCTACTGCAGTGCGAGAAACGATAATTGCTTTTTTGGTTCGGATATAGGAACTAGATATGCTATTTATGGTCTCTGCTCTAGAGATGCTATCGCATTTACAATAACCACGGACACCATCACAAAGCTTTGCTCAAGGGTAGTTGAACCTTGTTGTTTCTAATGCTTACCGGCAACGTTGGGAGGCCAAGAGCAGAACAATCCCTACGAACTATGTTGCACCAACACGTTTTCATGCGGTGGTATGATCTTATATGCAGTGTGGTCAAAATAAGGTGTTGGATCTAAGTTTGTGATGCTCCGAAATCGAGATAAAAATCAGCAGGGCTGGGCTGGGCTGAACTCTGCGGTGGGTCGTCGAGCGTGGTAACGATCTGGTTTCTGACGATGCACAGATGCTAGAAGGCTTTTGTGCATCGTGACCGCATCGTGACCTTGGCTGCTTACTGAATAACCCCTCCCGTAGATCAAAGTGAGCGGTTCCGGACGCAAGGAGAGCCGGGGTGAAATCGAGCTCTGAAATGTCGTGCATGAGCCCTACGGAACCGAGGGGTGGTTCGGGTTCACAACGTAAAGTGGGTTGAAAAAACCGTGTCAGGGTGGGATGGGAAAATCCCGTTTTGCGGATCGTGAACTATGTCACGTTATCTTCATTAGTATGGGTCTGGAACATTATCGTTGCAATCATCAGTCCCTTGTTAGTTTCTAAAGCCCGAAACACACGGTTTGAACGTTCCAAATATGAATGGGATGAAATTCTAGAACCCTTCTACGATGACGATAGTCTCATAATAGTTGACAACGCAACGATTAGTTTGACGGATATAAGTCCGGACTATATATGTTCCTTGGTACTTTTCTAACAAGGTATCTCAATATCGATGGTGAACACTTAAATACCTAGTCTCGGTGTTTTTATTTAAGCAACTAAGGCTAACCCTCTTGGCTATTAAAATATTAGCCGCTATACGATGTATTTCAACCATATGAGAGATTAACTACCTAACTTGACTAATACTCTTAAGTACACATTAACGTACGATCTTCGAAATTGATCTCGTCATACCGAAAGGAAGCGGAAGCTTACGCACGATTCGACAAGGTATAACCTAGTAACTCAAAAGGTATTACGAGTCACAGTATTTATGACTTGTATAACCATAACCGCCCTAGCCAAGGTAACCTTGGTAATACCTACGTAGACACTCCACAAAGAAGATTGACTGCAGAGAATCAACTATTAACTTCATTGATATCAATAATGATTTTTGGCTACACCCGTCCCAACAAGTGCTAACTCCGGTTACCATATGTTACCATATCGCCGTATCTAAGATATCATCCTCTGCCAATCGAATCAATATCTAAGCTTCATTCAGCATCTTGTTATCAAATTTCTTCCCCCTGCCCTTCTGACCTCCCTTAAAATGCTTCTTACTTGAGCCGATCTGTACGTCCTGCGGGTCTATTCCCGTTTCCAGTGCGATCATCGTTCTGGCTTTGCGTCCACTAAGCTGCTTAGCCGGACCTTGTTCTTGTGCCTTACCTTGTTCCGTGTATTTATGGCTGAATGGCATCTTTAAGTGACCCGCGCTTCCCGCATTGCGTGCGAAGAACGCCTTATCAAGCTTCTCTGACTTGGCGCCCTTTGGTAGGGCTAAGATCTCCGTATCAATTGTCGATTCGCCGTCGTCTACGTCTAGTGCATCCATGGCTGCGGTTAAAGCTGCCTTGCGCTTTGCGGGTAGGTGCTCTGAGTCGTACAACTCGCGGTTGAAATCCATGCCGTCACCCCAACCGGGAGGGGGTTCAACGTATAGAAGCTTTCCGTTGACGTAGTCCTTGAGGACGGTCCTAGCAGCTCTTGATTCATCAGGTTGCCCTACACCTTGGGTTGCGAAACCTCGTGCTTTGGCATATGCTGACAAAAGCTCGCTGGCGGTGGGAATTCCCGTACCTCCCTCTTCTGACGGCCGAGTCCTGATGTGAATGCCATAGATAGCTTCTAAAAATGGCTGTGGGATCCTATGTGCGACGAGTGCAGCGGGACCCGTAAATTCTCGTAATTGATCAATAGGCAAGACGCCATTGCAGACGAGATCGGCCTTTGTGGTGGCAAAATTGGGAAACACAAGACCGGGACAATCGCAGAGGATGACCTTGTCGCTTAAGTGAATGGTTTGAAAGTGCTTTGTCTTACCAGGCGTTGCGGAGACGGATACTTTCTTGGCGCCAATGAGGGCGTTGATTGTTGACGACTTTCCGACGTTCGGATACCCAACTAAACCTATCTGCAGCTTCTTCTCCGGATCTGCTTGTCTGTAAGCTTTAAAATCAAGGTAACATAACAATGGAAGTACATACCATCGGGATCATATGCATGCCGAATAAATATATCTTCTAGCTCCTCAACTGTCAATATCCTGGTATCATCGTCGGCATCTTGACTGAGTGACACTCCCGAATCTACGCCCTCTTCGTCACTCTCATCCTCCGAATCGGCATCCTGGTTAGATCTGCGAATAGTTTTTGGGGTTGAGTTTTCACCATTGAGAGGCTCTTCCGGTTCGCCCTCTTGATCGCGCTCGTCGTTTAATTGCTTTGCCAAGCTAGCGGAGAAGAAACGATAGGCTATCTTCTTCTCTTTGAAATATTTCGCCCATGCTTTCCGTTGATTTGTCGTCATCATATCTGCCTTGTTGACCAGCAACAGGTTTTTCTTGGCTGGGTCGATGTCTTCCACGTATGATTCAAGATCTTCGGACCAAAACATCAGCGGATTTCGTGCATCAACAATCTGCACGACCAGGTCTGATCTCTCGATAACACGCCATAATTGCCTCCAAACTTCTAGATTGCGCTCAAATGGGGTCATGAGTAAGTCGTTATGCTCTTGCAGCTCTGCCAAACCCCTTCTCCAGTTGAGGAAACTTTCTCTTTCGAGATGATCAAGCTCATCGGCGGTAGTTGAGGAGTCCCACTTTGGTCGTCTGGGCACCGTTAATTTTCCTCTATGTTGAGCGTGTTTCCCTATAACATTTCTTTCCTCGGTTGCCGACAGTAGGTATGGATTTCTCTGGTCTGTATGTATGATTTTGACGTTGTTCATCTTCTCGGCTGTGAAGTCGGTACCGGCAAGCTCGGCGGTCGCAAGGAACTCGTCTAGAGCACCTTGCTCTGTTACGGAGCGCATCTTCACCCATGCTGCTTCTTTTCTGTCATTTGTGATATACTATAGTAGTAAGTTGGTAAGCGACTGTCCTAACATAGAGAAATAATGTTCATACCTCTTCGCCGGTTGCGTGGTTGATTCTCGTGACTGCTGAACCTTTTTTGCGATCGGATCCTTTACCTTTCCCAAACCGGTCGTTCATGAGCGTATTGCCCAACCCGACCGAGGTCTTGGACTTTGCGTGCACCATGTTGGGCAATTTATTGGTATATGATGTTGTAAAGTTATGCAAATATATGAAATGTACCTTTTCCAAAACTCAGTCCTCATAAATTGAGGTTAAGGTTGTCGCTTCCAGACGGGTTTGTAAAGTCTAATCGCTGAATAATCGAGGGGCAATTATTTTTTGCGTCACTCTAAGCACGATAAGCCCCGCGATAATAATTTACCCCACCAAAACTTTTTCAATTCTAGGCCGAACCCTGAATGAAGTACATGTACCTAATCCATTCTACCATTTACAAAGTTAAGTACCTTACCTAGAATCACTCATCCTCTACCTCTACCTCTTGTGCTGAACCAAACCCGAGAGATTCGCTTGTATATTGCTTATAAGCAAAGACCCAGAAAGACTCAAAGAAAAAAGAAAAAAGAGAAAATGCCAAAAGGCAAGTGGATGTACGTAAATTGATAAAGCGATCATTCGGTTAGCGATTAATTGCTAATATCTTGACCAGCGACAAGAAGACGGCCCAGCATTTCACGCTGGTTCATCGTCCGCAAAATGACCCGCTGATCCACGACGCTGATGCGCCGTCTATGATACTCAACCCTACATCTCTTCCCAATGCTTCCAAGGTGAGGAAGCTTGACGACCTTGCATCCGAGCTGGGATCTGACGCCGAACACATTCGTGCCAACGAGGGTGAGGCCGCCAACCATGGCGTTTTCTTCGACGATACCGAGTATGACTATATGCAACATCTACGCGACCTAGATTCTGCCGGAGGTGGGGAGGTTGTCTTCATCGAAGCAGACAACGGACTTAAAAACAAGGGCAAGGGAAAGCAAAAGCAAAGTTTGGAGGATGCGCTGAGAAAATTGGACGTCGCGGATGAGGAGCGCAAGCGTGATGACCTTTTTGGCGATGATTTCTTGCCGTCTAAGAATCTACAGCATATAACATACCAAGCGCAACAAGATATCCCCGATGCCATCGGTGGCTTTCAGCCGGACATGGACCCCCGACTGCGCGAGGTACTAGAGGCGCTTGAGGACGAGGCATACGTTGATGATGACGAGGACGTCTTCGCACAGCTAGCAAAGGATGGCCAGGAGCTAGAAGACATCGAATTTGATGCACACTTTGACGAAGACGATGGTTGGGAATCGGACGACACCGCTAAGCCGACTAAGGAGTACAAAGACCGCTCCGAAGTGCCTGATCTAGTTCCCACTGTAAATGATCAGGACGGAGAGGCAGTCAAGAATGAGGATTGGTTAGACGACTTCAAGAAATTTAAGAAGGACCAAGGGAAGCCCGGCGCAAAGGTATCCTTCGCAGTCGCACCATCGCAGTCGGAGGTGCAATCCTCCCTCATGACAACAACCACCAACGGTGGCCGACGGAAGAAGCGTAAGGGCGCGCTTACGAACCAGTCGGGCTACTCCATGACATCGTCGTCACTATTCCGCACTGAGCAGCTTGGTATCCTGGACGCCCGCTTCGACAAAATCGAGGAGCAGTACAACGCGGATGAAGATGACGAAGATGGCGGGGCCTCCGTGTCTCAGATCTCGACGGCGTCTAGCGTGACGGGATCTGTGCGGGGAGATTTCGATAACATCCTAGATGATTTCCTAGGAGGCTACTCGATGCATGGAAAGAAGCAGATGAAGAAGGGCAAGTGGAAGAGCGGCACTGCGCAACTCGACGACATCAGACGCGAGTTAGGGCCGGCTAAGATCCGTGGTAGATACGGCCAACCGCAAGCGTCCGGATTGGCTTCGGCATCGGCGTCTAGGTAGATGGACATATTCATAGAGATACCCACGGAAATATGTGCGTTGGCAACTAGGTTAAATAAATTGACTTACGGGGAATAGATAAAAACTGGCCTGAATAATGTAATAATTGGCAACTTTACACACTTGTGAACTATGTACCTATTTGTACGCTTTCCAAGGGAAGTATCAATTCGCATTTATTGCTACAATGTTATCACTAGCAAGAAACGATACTTGCTCTAATGACAACCAAGCCTCAGCTGCTCTTGCTGCCTGCCTACATAGACCAATACGTTGACGACTCGGGCGTCTGCTCTGCAAAAAACGGGGAAGCCCAGCAGATGTCCTCCAAAAGCGAACGGTCCTACGAAATCTAGCCTGCGAAGTCTAGTTGGCTTCGAGGGGTCGAGTGTTCCGTAGAAGAGACGTAGCGGAATTGTAGGAGGCCCCTTCGATGCTTACTGGGCGGGAGGTTTCTCGCTCTGAAATAATTGGGCCCGCAAGTCAGAAAACCAGCGACACAGATCGTGGACAGCTTGAGGCAATTCTACTGCATGCCGCCCTATTGTGTCGTCCTCCTAGCGATGACCATTCATAGCGGGCGGGCGCTCAGGGCCATAAGCACCGGGTGCGTGCGGAAGTTCCTCCTCTGTGTCGTCGTCAAACTCACCCTCATCACTAACCTCCTCGTCGCCGTCCTCGTATTCGTATTCGCTTTCATCATCACCCTCGTCCAGCTCTCCTTCTTCATCGCCTTCTGCCCCTTCGGCATAACAGCTTTCTACCGTGCCTTGCATGCCCTGGGGTATACCGCGGCCCTGCTGTTGCATCTGGTTGATGATGCTCGTCAGCTTATCGTTCTTCTTCCTGATGTCCTCGAGGTCCTTCAGGTGCCTATTACGCTCCTCGGCCATCTTAAAGATGTTCTGATTTAGGGCGCCCTCTTTCCTTTTGTAGGCCTCGTTCTCCTTCTCTAGCTTCTTCGTCTTTTTGGACATATCCTCCATCTCCTTACGAAAAGTTAAGAACAGGTCGTTACTATTATTGAGCGTGTCCTCGACCTCCTCATTTGTTAATGCCTTCGCACGGCGGGCTAGTGAGGGGCACAGGGCGCATACCTGCTTAAACTTCTCAACGTAAACGTTCAACTGATTTCTTAATTCAGCTTCGGTCTTGGAGAACGTAAGCACTTGGCTATTCAACTGTCGCGCACGGTTGGCTTCTGCTTCCGCCGTTTTCTTCTGTTGCTCGTAACGAGCCATGTTCCATTGGACCTCGATCTCCTTAGTTCGCATCGAAGAATGATAGTGTAGTTCCCGCAATTCATATTGATCGATGAGAGATTTGAATCTTCCCTTGAACCTACACCTTCAGTGTTAATACAAAACGTGTCCGTGTAGATGGACGTTAGGAGTGGAGGAATGGCGCACAATTCTTCGGCTTTCATATACACAACCTGCTTCCGCGGGTTGTCTTTCTCTTCTTGATAACCTTCCAAAGTGTCAAGTACCTTCTTTAAGCGCTCGTCAGACGAAGCTTTGAGGCGATCGTGGGTATCATTCAGGGCACGGTGCTCATTCTACCAGCCATCCCCGTCAGCGCGAATTCCGCAAAATTTCCAGGACTCAATGTACCTTAAGCTTGTTATTTTCTTTTTGCAGTTCGCGACACAGCTTTTCTAACTTCTCCTTCAAGCTAATTTGCTTGCTGAGGTCCGTACGGCTGGCATCTTTTTCCTTTTGTAATAGATCGGCCCGTTTTTTATTCCTAATATTCTCGCGCTCGAGGCGTTTTAAGTTCGCGAAGAGTTCTGATGATCGCTTTGTTAAGAGTTCTATTTTGTCCATATCGTCCATCTTGTTCATCTGATTGCTAAGCTCCCTGTTCGCCTTGCGTACTTCCCGATCTAGTGTAAAGCAATATTAGCAAGGCCTTGATATCGTAAAAGAGAGCTGGCGAAATCAGATCCAGCGAACAGAGAATTTCCCGGCGCATATTAGTCTAGCGTTGTGTAGCAGCATTCGTACAACCGAGTCGGACTGCGTATCGAATACCATAGGTATCACCTCGAAACGCGCGGCGGTCGAACTGTCGGGATTATGGCATATGGTACTCTGGTACTCTGATGGAAGATCGTTTCCTGTAGATCTATAACATCGCAAGGCACCGGTATTTCTCTTCCGATTCGTCCGACATTGCTAGAGCGCGCTATCGTGTTCGATGCTTCACTTTTATCCCTCTAGCCGTGGTCACGCTATCTCGAATTGGTGAACGTTTCGCGGCAGTTGTGTAGTCTCGCAATTCGAATTCAAAGGTCTCTCCATACCCAAGCCCTTCTGTGATCATTCTACCCTCTGAAATGAAAAAGAACCTACCAATTTCCGCCTCCTGCTCCTTCTCTGCGGCTGTATCAACCTCCAACTGGGAAATTCTTGCGGCAACAAGTTTCGATGCCTCATTCGAGTCGAGGGCCTTTTTTCCCTTTCCTTTCTTCGCGGCATTTGAAGCCATGGCGGGCGTCGGGGTTGGGGCAGGTCGGGGCTCTTGAACATGAACATGGTGGCTATTTGGTAATGAGTCGTCATGCGTATGAGAATGAGCGATTCCATTCGTATTAAGTACGGATGCAAGAGGGGCTGGCGTAGCAGATGCGGCACGATGGTTCGTTGTCGCCATGTTTTCCTAAACGTATACAACTATGCTAAGAGAGAAGAGAGAATGCGGCGTTAATATTCCGAAGAGACTTACGACATAACAGAAGGTAATCATGATTCAGTTGTGAACTTACCGTACTGGATTGCTAGAAGACATTGGGATGGTTTTTAAGGCAATGAACTTATATAGCTGAAAGGATATTGTTGGCCGATAAGAGAAACAGGTGTCAGCTCTTTAGCTTTGGTTAACCGGGTTATGTGGATGTTGGAAGCGTAGTTCTACAATGAATGCAGACTTTTGAGGGTTTGAGATGAAGCGCGGCGTTTTAGTGTTGGTTACTTAATCAGCATGGAAGCAAGTACGGGAAGTAGGTACGAGAGAACTCCGGGTTGCCGCCTTGCCGCCTTGCAACTGCACATGCGACCAAATCGGACTTAGGTAATCTTTTAGGTGCCAAGTACCTCAACTACCTATGTACATACCACCTACCACACACTGCGATATCATAGGTACCTACCTAGGTAGGTACGCACTACCTAATATACATACATACCTAGGTACATACGAATAAAAATGACCTAGAAAATTTGAATTGGACACTAGCAGATCCGGAGCAGCGGTTTTATGTGGGGTTAAGCTTCCTTAATTGCACTTTACATATATATGCTTAAACACCATTGCATTACGACCTGTCCAATTACTTTTTAGCCAATGCGATTAAGTGGTTGTCAACATGAACCATACCTCGGTATTCCAATATCTAGCCTGTTAGCAGGGGTTAGCGCGACATATGCGTCATCTAGCATAACCCGTAGTATCATTTGCCCTTGGAAATTTTCTAGAATACATACCGCCCGTATCTTTAACCTTTCTCTCCTTCAACCTTCAACCATCAACCATCACAACATGCCGCTCCGGACTGCGGCTGTTTAAACCCCTACAATCACGGCTCATTGTACGGATTACTTCTTCTTTCCTTATCATTTCATCTCTTTGATATGATTGCGGCTGGTTCCTTTGATCATCAATAACATGTTGCGTAACGTGGTGAAAGGTGCAGCTAGGAAAGCTATAACGGAACTGTCCCAGTACCCGAAGCCCGGCGAGAAGCTCCATGGCTTCACTTTATTAAGGACAAAGCATGTACCAGAACTCGAGCTGACTGCGCTACACTTACGACACGACAAGACCGGCGCGGACTATCTACACATCGCTCGCGAAGACAGTAATAATGTATTCTCAATCGGCTTCAAGACGAATCCCCCAGATGACACGGGTGTTCCTCATATCCTTGAGCACACAACATTATGTGGCAGCCAAAAGTATCCTATACGAGATCCCTTCTTTAAGATGCTACCGCGAACCCTGTCCAATTTTATGAATGCTTTCACTGCTTCCGATCACACCTACTATCCGTTCGCTACGACCAACGCCCAAGATTTTCAGAATCTGATGTCGGTATATCTCGACTCGACCCTCCACCCCCTATTGAAGGAGACAGATTTCACTCAGGAAGGTTGGCGCATTGGACCAGAAAACCCCAGAGTTGCGGAGAAGGATGGAGAAATAGACGCCGAGGATAGCAAGCTAGTCTTCAAAGGTGTCGTGTACAATGAGATGAAGGGTCAAATGTCGGACGCTGGCTACCTCTTTTATATTCGCTTTCAAGACCACATCTTTCCATCTATCAACAACTCTGGAGGCGATCCGCAAAAGATTACCGATCTGACGTACGAGCAGCTGCGTAAGTTTCATGCTGAGCATTACCATCCCAGTAATGCAAAGCTTATAACTTACGGGGACATGCCATTGGCCGACCATCTCAAGGAAATTGACGCCCAAATGAACGCATTCGAGAAGATACAGACAGATATAGAACACAAAAAGCCAATTGACCTGAGTGATGGGCCGCGTACCGTGACGGTATTTGGGCCGGTAGATCCTCTTGCCGATCCGGAAAAACAATATAAGACGTCAGTGTCGTGGGTCACTGGTAGTACCAGCGACGTGTTAGAGTCATTTTCTGTATCTCTACTCTCGTCCCTGTTAATGGACGGATATGGATCTCCGCTCTACAAGGGGCTCATTGAAAGTGGGCTGGGTACGGATTGGAGTCCAAATTCCGGCTACGACGGGTCAGCAGCTACGGGAATCTTCTCTATTGGTTTAAGTGGAGTCGAGCAACCCAATGTCGAGAAGATTAAGGGCGAGATTCAAAATATACTACGCGAGGTTCGTGGCAAAGGCTTTGAAAGAACGAAGATAGAAGGATATCTCCATCAGCTCGAATTGAGTCTTAAACACAAGACCGCCAATTTTGGACTTTCGGTGTTACATCGTCTAAAGGGGAAGTGGTTTTCTGGAACCGATCCCTTTGATTCCTTAGCATGGAACGATACAGTCGCGGCATTTGAGGCGAAGCTTGCTGAAGGAAGCTATCTAGAGGGGCTAATGGATAAATATCTCCTCAACGACAATACTCTTACCTTCACAATGGCCCCTTCGGAAACGTACGGCGCGGAGATTGCGAAGGAGGAAGATGACAGGCTGCTGGCTAAGATTTCCGAAGCTACTCAACAAGCCGGTGGGGAACAAGAAGTTCGAAAAATCTTCGAGCAGAGAGAACTAGATCTACTTGTTGAACAAAACAAGTCAAACACCGAAGATTTAAGTTGCCTACCGACCGTTCACGTTAAAGATATCCCAAGACAAAAGGAGCCTGTAATAGTAAGGGATGAAGCGGCACACGGCACTACTATTCAGTGGCACGAAGCTCCTACAAATGGACTCACTTACTTCCGGGCTATCAATACATTCGAAAATTTGCCAGATGAGCTCCGATCCCTCGTTCCGTTGTTTACAGACTCCATCATGCGACTAGGAACGAAGGATATGACCATGGAGCAGCTCGAGGATCAAATCAAGCTTAAGACGGGCGGTATATCTGTTAGCTATTTGTCGACCGCATCACCAACCGATTTCCGTCAGGCTTCGGAGGGTCTTCTATTACGGGGCACGGCTCTTGATCGTAACGTACCCGAAATGTTTGACCTGCTCCGTAAGCTCATCTCGGAGACCAATTTTGACAGTCCAGAGGCAGCCCTTCGGATAAGGCAACTACTCGAAGCTGCAGCTGATGGTGTTGTGAATGACATTGCCTCCTCCGGCCATTCCTATGCTCGAAGGTATGCCGAGTCGAGTTTAACACGCGAAGGCTATTTAGCCGAGCAAGTAAGCGGCTTATCACAGGTTAAACTCATAACGTCGCTAGCCGGACGACCGGAGTCTGATCAATTCGAAGACATAATCGAAAAACTTAAACAAATACAGAAATACGCATTAGCGGGTACCGATATTCGCACAGCGTTAACATGCGGCTCCGATAGTGTTCAAGCCAACTCTACCGCGTTATCCCAATTCCTGGCATCTCGATCAACTGATCCTGTCCAATTTCCCGCTGCTGAAAAACAAATATTTGCGAGAGATATCAAAGCATTCTTCCCACTTCCTTACCAAGTTTACTATGGTTCTCTCGCGCTCCCAACTACCTCCTATACATCACCGCAAGGTGCACCACTTCAAATCCTAGCTCAACTTCTCACTCATAAACACCTTCATCACGAAATTCGTGAAAAGGGCGGCGCATATGGAGGCGGTGCTTACATGAAGGGACTTGAAGGAATATTCGGGTTCTACTCATACCGAGATCCAAACCCGCAGAATACTCTTTCCATTATGAAAAATGCTGGCCGGTGGGCGGTCGATAAGAAATGGTCCGACCGAGACCTTGAAGAGGCCAAGATATCGGTTTTCCAGAGTGTCGATGCACCCAGGTCAGTTAGTGCGGAAGGTATGCTCCGATTCATGTCTGGTGTCACAGATGAAATGCAGCAAAAGAGGCGTGAACAACTTTTGGACGTTTCAAAGGACCAAGTCCGCGAAGCTGCTCAAAAGTACATCGTTGACGCTCTAGGAAATGGGCAGGAAAGGATCACTTTCCTTGGAAAGAAACAAGATTGGGTGGATGACACCTGGAAGGTGAATGAGATTAACGTGGACAGTACTGAGTAACGAGTAAAGACGACGACAGACGATAGATGTAACAATTGCCTGTACAATATCTGTGCATATACCCATCTCTTACAAATCAGACGGATTGCATATAGTCCCGGCATTTATGGCTTGGTCTATCCCGACTCGACAGTAGTCAACTAATTACAAGGTGAAATGTCATGTTTAGCAACATGCAATTGTGAAATTCTAATTCAGCGTTCAGATACGATACGTCTTCTTGCTCGGTGTCTCTCACAAGAGACACCACCATAGCATTGAGACCACAACAAGACGCGAGATCAAAACATAAGAGGTAAGGTCTATGGATAGCTCCCCGCAAGGGGCTGTTAGACACAAGTACCGACCTCTTACGCTCGTTCTTTCAGACCCGGATTTCTTAGATTTAGGATTCTGGACTATAGAACAGAGTACATGCTTATTCCAGCAGGAAGTAAAACAATATAGACTGGTCTAACCTGTGCCTTAAATAGACTACATTTTCCTACTTCCATTTAAACGTATCATCCAGTCAGTCTTGTCATTGTCATCCATGATTTCAACCTTCAGTTAAGGATTAGGTAAAACCACGGGAACTACCACATATATTCCGAGATAAATCACTACCCTTACCCCTTTCCCATCATAGCGGTTATGGTATAGCATATATATAAGGTACTCAATCATTAGCTTGTATCAAGTATCTATCCCCATCCGTGCAAATTCGCAAAATATATACCCTTTCTTCCCCTCGGCAAACAATGGATTCGTGCCGCAGAGAACCAAAAAGTAAATATATGACAAGAGTGGGACTTGAACCCACGCGGATTGCTCCATGAGGATGTAGGAATTAAGGTGACCTTAACCTCACGCCATAACCAACTCGGCCATCTTGCCTATTTTGCCTAAGAGTAAGCGTCGATTCACCGAGTAGAGGAATCGATAAAAAGAAGTTGGTTTAACTGGTTATAATAGCAGCTTTACATTTTGGGAATTAAGGGCCCAGGTTAGTCATGTACAATGGTAAAAATTATAAAGGAGACTTTAGACGCTAGGAAATCTCTAATGGTTGTGCGGTGGAGCTATGGAGGCCCACCATCTTAACCATTGGATAGGGCTAGGAAAATCGGGTGGTCCGAGTAGTACTGAGTGCTACGCAAAGAAAAAAAGTTTTGATAGCCGACTGATTTCTGTTATATATCTCTGATCTTAGAGACTGTCTATGAGTATGTGTGGTATAGAACAGAAATTAGTTTTCCGAGAGCACAATGTCTAATTTGAAGATGCCATCCAGTCCTTACCGTAGTATGGTATACTAGGCCTCCATTTTGATATATCTGTCACGAGGTGGGACCAAACAGTAGGGAAACAACTTCGTTGCTCCGCGAGAAGCTCTAATCTATCTACGTGGATCTATGTCTAGTTATACACTCCAACATGGTCTTTGTTCCATATGTCTTGTCTAGAACCCTGACAATATCGACTACGAATACCTCTTGGTAGTATTACATCCTGATTCGTGTTCAAGAGGTCGACTCCGTTAATGTCACATGATGTAATGGCACAAGGGCGTCACTAAACTAACCTAGGTTGAAGGTATTCTTAAATTAAATATCTATGATCTCTTTGCTCGACCAAATAACGATAACCATGTCAAGGAGACCCGTGACCTTACAATGTGTTTTATGATGCCTACCTATATACGCCCTTCGGATTGCTTGTATCCTGAGTACATGTCGATACAATCCAAACACGAGCTATTATACAGCCACCGGTCCGACTCAAATTAACAAAGGTTCGTCGTCAAAAATATAGACGGACTTTGAAGCTCAGACCTTCATTCAAGAAGTCCTATAGAAGTCGCTGGTTTGGTGGTCTAGTGGTATGATTCTCGCTTAGGGTCCACCCTGAACAGTGTATGCGAGAGGTCCCGGGTTCAATCCCCGGCCAAACCCTTTAGTTCGGTTCTTACCGCGTAAGATGCCCGGTAAGGTGGCTCGAATATTACTTTTTGCTATCCGGCTACAGTACCTAAGTTACACATCATATCAAATATACTGCCTGCAGTCTTAGGTATTAGACATATAATACAAAAGATAAAGCTTTAGGGTATCTGTTAAATAAGGGCATTTTAGTACTAGGTACTAATTTGATATATTATAGCTACTTATTTTTTATTCTTTTCTATGAGAAGGGTATTATTGGAGACGATAGGTAGATAGTCTACTAGGGCATCTTAGGGATGTTCGAAGAGGGCTCTTCTAGATAGCATAGAAGAACAAGAAAAAGGTTTAGTTTAGTTGAAGCAAAAGAATTTGTCCCTATATCCATGGATATGTTCAATGTACCTATCATCGATCTAAATCTATTAAATGTATATATTGGTCTCAATCAGTAGCCTTTCTTTAACTTTTGATACTTTTCGTACTAACTGGACACATGTTGATTTCATTAAATCCCAGGACATGGGAATCGAACAGGGCCCGAGTAGAATGTTCGAAGATTTGGAAAGCAATAGGAGTATAAACAATTCGATAGAGTTAGGAGGGAATATGAGAGACCTACGTTGGCTATACTCGTATATTGATTGTATCGAGAGATTGGTTGAGCACTCAGACCATGTTTAAAATGTCATACTTACTACATGTCTACCGCCATGTCACGGAAACCCCCAGCAATGAAGGAGAATTATGGAACGTTTCGCTGATAGCTCTTTGATAATGCAGCGAGAATATAAAAAAGGGCATCTCTCTTGGCTCATAGGGGGGCTTGCTTGGCTATCAGGCCGCACATGTAGTTCATATACCATGAATCCTACAGCCAAACCAAAGATTTTTCTGGCAATAGCCATTACCTTATAAACACTCCAAGTATCTAGCAATACATCCTTGAAAATACGTCCACTTATCTTTTAAGATCTTAGCCAACTTCCATAATATGTTCTACAAAACTTATTATTCTACCTTTAAAAGAGATAATGTAAAAATATAACTTTTACGCCTTAACACAGCTCACCTCATTGCGTTAGAATCGTAGCTTGTGGCGCGGGGAAAGTCATTCAAGCTCGAGGGTTAGAGGTTAGAATGAACTATGATCTAGCTCAGATCCTTTAGCTTCGACAGTGACCGGAAGCGTGTCTCATTGAATTCCTTTCTGCCACCCATTCCTCGTCGCAACTATACATGATGTCATGGTCAACAAGCACCTATCGTCACTACTAATTTTTATTGCCATAAGAGCCGCATTAACTGGTCCCGGTTCGTTTCCACTGTCGGTATTATAGATAAGACACCTAGAACAAAGGATACTTTCAGTACCGAATGTACAGCTCAAGCTTCCCTGGTTATGTTTAGAGTCCATTGCGGGATGACAAAGTCGGTTCCATGCTTCTTGCTTTGCATCGCGACATTCACATGTAAACCACGATGAAAACATAGGTCTCATAAAAGCCTCATATCATAATTGTCTTTCGTGTTGATGAAGGCTATCGAACTATGATGTCAGATTCCAGTAGTCCGATAGTCACCCGGACCTAGAAATGCGGTATTGCGCGTCTCTAAATATAGAATTGAACCTCATGGGATCTGGACAGTAACAATTGCCGCTTAGCATTTTCGGATATTTTCTTTACCTAGTTTGGGGGTGGTCAATGTTACTACACTCAACGAACTAGGATTTATTACGGACTGTTCAATGCTCATTTGATTCAGCCCCCGATAGTGCACTCTATCTCCTCCGGGGGTAAACTCTCTCCAAGTTGTGAAAGTATTGTAGTAGGATACGGCTGTTGGAGTCGGTTTTGCTCTATACTTTTTACTTCGTATATTGCTCATTCTCGCTTCCTATTTAGGAAAGCCGGAGCATCCGTGATGGAGGGTTTGCCGCCCCGGTCTACCGTGATTGTAACATTGCCCAAAACATAGTTAAACTTTCCAACTTGTACCGTAGTTTTACTGGGCATCTGCGGACCAGATCTCGACGAACAACTGCTGCATTGAGCAAAATAGACGTTTATCTACGGGATTCTCTCGCTCCGAGTTGGGCACGAATAGGGGAACTACAAGTATAGGTGAAGTGTATATGTACTAAAGATACACTATGAAGCACATGTGCAATGCTGCTTTGAGACCCGATCAGGCCGGATGAGGTTGCATGACTATGGACTCCAACATAGATCGATCATCATAATTTTGAGCGGGCCGCGAGTGAAGGCGCGTAATAAAGAATAGTGATCGAAGCAGCTTCTCCTCTTATCAATGCTAGCCTTCGGAAAAGATGTATTGTGGAACACTCTCAGGTGGTAGTATTGGCATAAGCCACAAGTAAACCGATAGGCCACGAGACTTGATGACGCTGCGGACAGGTCAGGCCAATTAGTCGTCTGAAAGGAAAACAAGCAAAATGCCGTGTAACAATATCACAGATTAAATGCAGAATATGATGGAAAGTGGCGTAGCTTTTCTTTAACTGCCGATTATTGAGTGCGTGTTCCTGAGGTATCCTTTGAAACTTCAATGGGCGACCCTCGTTCAAATTAGGGGTACGACTAGAATTAGAAGTTCGCATTTCAAAGACACCTACCTACCTAGATTAATATTTTATTGGTCAGGAGACGTGTTTTGCAGCCATAAGTTACCTAGATAGCGCAAGCGTGGGGAGTTGATCTCATCTGGTTGCAACACAACTCTTCTAGCCTTAGTTCCAATCTGCGAGGTCGGACAGGAGTATATCTATTTGCATCTCCTGTGATATATTAGTTGGACCCTTATGACTTATGTAAATTGCATGGTAAAGATTGAGTAGGTAGCATATCGTAAATACCTAGTCCTCTATCCTGTAGGTTATGGCTGCTGGAGACAAGCGGCAGAATGCGGCTGTTAATTGAACGGCCCGTATTAGAGCACTTCTTAGACGATGAGGGATTTGGAAATCTGTCATACCAGCAAAATCCGCCTGAATATCATACGAGCGTAGGGTTTATTAGGTTGATGCCTGAATTTATGTGTTGAGGTGTTGCCCAG